TTTAAAAGAGAGCATTTATTACATTTCCCTGCCCTCAAAGAACCCTGAGGATAGTCATTTTTCTGTCAAGGGGATTAAGAAGGAGCTCTTGCAAAAATCACAATATGCATCACCTTTATTTAAATATTGGAGGATGCTATGGCTCTTAAAACTGATATATCTCAGTCATAAGCCCATACACGCACACAGCTATGTCTCTTTAATTTTTTTGGATTGGGTCCATGTATAAATTTATGTTCAAAGAAAATGTTAACCCCTGCTGAAGCAAATTATTGTTGAATTAAGACAATAAATCCAATATTGTTGGATTTGTATAACCCAATAAAACATAATCTATCCACATCTGGATGGGATCATGCAACACACAGCCATAAGCTAGCTACCCACATTTTAGTCAAATGCAAGGGTAAACAATCTCTGCCCCCCCCCCACACCCTACCTGTAGCCCCAAAGCACCCTGACATGGCACTGCCAAAATTCAATTAGAGAGATATAAGAAAACCCCATATAATCAGCTTTATCCATGCAGGATGGACCCTGCAGAAACCAAAATTTGTTTTTTCTCACACTGTATTTTTATGAAATCTGAACATGAAATATATCCCTATTAATAGATAAGTTTCCATGGCATTCACATTCATTCTATCTTCTAAATACTGATATATTGTCTATAGAATATTGAGATGACTGCTTAGTATTAATGAATTAATAAGGATATGTTAAGAGATAATGACATGAATTTATTATTTATGGTGTCACATCCTAATTTTAAAAAGCGGAGACTCCAATAAAAATGGGGAAGAGGAAGATTCTCATCATCCCATTGATTCCCACTTTCCCCAGCATTCTTCTTTCACCTAACTCTGAGAGATCAGTGAAATACTAAGGGAATTTGTAACAGATGGCAAGAATTTAATATGAACCTGCAGCTTGAATACACCAGAAAAAGTTCCCTCCTTGCCTTACGTCTCTCTATCCCTACCCTTCCTTTCTGTAAATTAGGGTGCTTAACTTTGTAAAAGTTAAAAAAAAAAGTTTAAAAGCCAGTTTGGTATAGTGGTTATAAGGTACCAGTCTAGAAACCAGGAGACCATGAGTTCTAGTTCTGCCTTAGGCATGAAGCCAGTTGGGTGACCTTGGGCTAGTCACTCTCTCTCTCAGCCCTAGGAAGGAGGCAATGGCAAGCCAATTCTGAAATCTTGCCGAGACAACTGCAGGGACTTGTCCTGGCAATTGGCAGGAGTCAACACTGACTTGAAAGCACAACACCCCCCACCCCCAAAGTTTGTAATCACTTACAAGTGTTGGATGCTCAATTTAGTAATCTTTTAATTAAGTAAGTAAAGATATAATGAAGGGTGAAACCTGATCTGATTCTTACACCTCACATACATAGCTTATTTCAAACAACATAAAGGGATGTTAACCTGAATGTTTGTGGTATGGCCATGTGTGATGAAGTGGACTGTGTAATTGAGGAAGAGATGTTCTTAAGATGCCTTAAGAGCCAATTTAGTAGAATTATTACTGGAATATCTTGGGGGCCAGACTTGGTAAAGATATCCACAAACAAATTCATGGTATTTTAGGATTAATCTGGTACCACAAATAAATATCTTTGGGCCAAGTTTGATATATATCCCTGGAGGATAGGGCTGACTGATGGGCTCACACTGCTAATGTGGGAAGTCTGGAAGGAATACTTCATGGTACTGGACTGACCCACTGAATCCTACTGCAGACCCAGTGCAAGGGTGGGGGTGGTGATCCAAGGTTTTGGGTGAGCTCATAAAGTCCCAATATGGAGCCAAAAAGGAACTCTGTGAGTAGAAAGGAAGAAATGTATGTGAGCATATCCTGAGCCCCTGAATTAAGTACAACAACCCCACTTAGAATACCACCCAAACAGATCAAGCAGCATGTTGCATAAACCTGATTTAAGGGAAAGAAATTTGCAGCGTTCGGCTTCAATTAGAATAACTACATCAACTGTGAGTCACAGCCATTCACTCATGCCCTCACTTTAATTTTTGCCCATTGTCACTGGCACAACCCCCCCCCCCCCCAAAACGGTTCACTGTGTAAAGGAAAATAACGTATGACTGTAAATGTACAAGACCAAGTCCAATGGCAAGTTTCTTTGAATGATTCTGAATGAACGTCAACTGTGGTTTAATTTAGATCATTTTCTTTAGAAAACTGTCTCCACACTAATCTACTTTCTCCACATCATTTGCATGTGAATTTCCTCCTCTGCTTCCTGATTTTTATAAATCATACTTTGCTTTGATATCTGAATTAGCAATCTATGGTTAGCGTTAATCTGCATGCAGAGATAATTTTAACATAATTTGAAAATAAACTGGTTCCTGTGACTGCTGAGACTTTCTCTTGTGATATTCAGTACTGATTATTCTTCTTTTCCAGTTGAAATATAAATAATAGTTCTTAAACAACTTTATTGCATTAGTTGAAGAACACTACTAAGGCAACTGATTTCAATATTGGCTTAAAATAAATGGACCTCTATGGGCTTTGCCCTTATCCTAATTATAGCACTATACATTTATCCTTAAGTCAGCAGAAAACTATGGAGGCATGAAATTTGCTCTCCATTGCCAATCCGTATCCTGCCTCACACTTGTTCCCAGCTACTGCAATCACTTGACTTTCCTCCAAGATAATGAGTGATAATTATCACTTTTTTACACCTTGTCTGCCCTTGGACAGTGCCAGAATTAAGGGGAGTACAGCTAAGACAAATTTAAGGCTATCCCACTCATGGGCTGAGAACAAGGTAAAAGCAAGATGTTACCATGGTATGTTTGTGTTTTAGTTAGGTGCAATTGGGTAAAGGCCCTAAATAAACAGAATCAGTACCTACATTCCTTCAGGTAGGGTTATAGACTCAATTTTCTTCACTTCATATTTGACAGTTCCAAGCATTTAAATATTAAATGATTATAAATAGGGGGGCAAAATGACTGATGCTTCCATATTAGACATTTTAAGAGTCACACTGACATCAATGGATTTGTTATTGTTTAATATTAATAATTAAAACTATTGTTTATAAAATAATTGGACTTCAATTAAGTACAAGAAGCTCTCAAATTATTTATCATCTAGACCCTAACCAAATCAAGTCATGTTTAACTAAACATGTGAGAATCAGCCAAGATACAATTCATATTTGAGATTCGAATGATTCAAATGTGCTTCATGTGAAATAATTATTTATAAAAGCACCTTTGCATATTTCTTCCCAACATTCCATTGAGCTGGAAAGAATAAAAATGGGTGGGAAACAGAAGGATCTAGAATTCCAGACAGTTTTTAAAAATCTTGAAGTACATTCATCCTTTGGCTTTTATAGCTGAGTAGAACCAGAGATGGTCGGATGCAAAATTCTATCCCCACAAAAATAATTACTCTTACTTAAAATGCAAAATTAATAGCAACCTGTTTCAATCTGATCCGCAGACCTTTCTTTTTTCTGTTTTTATCTTCCTTCTAGAGGGCTTTTCTTGCTAATTTCCTTAGTCCTTGATGTTGTCAGGTTTCCCTAACAATAATCAGGACTAAAAATAATCAACAAGTCTCTCTGAATTCATTAAGTAAGATTTATTAGGAAAAAAGGTTAGAGTGACAATACAAGAATTCTGACAAATCCTTCAAATGAGAAAGCTGCTGGGAAGAGTTCCATTTTAAAACGTCTCTAAAGGCCAGGAGATTCATGGCCACACAGACCTTCAGTGGGGGGTGGGAAGGATGCTGATCAAGAGAGCAAGGTCCAATATAAGTAGTCCTCAGTTTAAGAACGAGTTCCATTCCCAAAGTCTGTCCTTAAGTCGAATTTGTATGTAAGCCGGAACTGTATTATTGTATAATGCCGTATAAGTAGTTCCACATTGTGTAATAAACTTGAACCATTGTGTATTTAACTCGAATCATACTGTATTTAACTTGAATTTTGCTACAATAGGCTCTGTTCTTAACTATGGGTCATCCCTAAGCCAGATGTTCTTAACCCAGGAACTACCTGTATTAAAAAAGAGAGGTGAAGCAAGCAAAGCATGACTTCTGGGATTCTGCTGTAACTGTGCAGGGGAAAGCACATTCCACTGACTGCTCCTTGCCTATTCTGTTTCCCAATTCCTGGCAACATTACCAGTGTGGGACTGAGAACTTGAAAAAGCAGAGGCAGCCAACCCTATAACCCTGGTATTCCCTTGGGGTCTCCTGTCCACCTACTAACCAGGTCTGACCTTTTCCAGATCAGCTAGGGGCCGCCTAAGGAGAAAGAATCCTGAGGAGGGGGAAAACTGCATGAACAGAGCTGGGGCTATGATGAATGTCGGCAATGATGAATATGGGCTAATTAATATTAGCCCCCCCACACACACACTTTTCCTAATCAAGGCTTTCTTCCTCCAAATTATGAATGAAGGGTAAGGAGATAAGTATTAGGGGCAAGTTTATGTGCTCCTGTGGAATTTTTGCCTCACCTTCTTTTTTTAAAGATGCTCAGAGCTTGAACAGGATAAAAAAAAAAAAATAAGCCCGAACACTAGTCGGACTGAAAGAGGGGCTGCCGCTGAAAAACCACCCAGAGTCGCTGGGAGTCGGGTGGCATATAAATATATCATCATCATCATCCCTGTCCAAATTGCAGGAACAGGACTTTTCCAAGGATCCAATCTCTCTTGTTTGGGTGTTTCTCTTTTTGTTATAGTTAAAAAGCAGCAGCTTCCAAGGAAACCCGTAAAGGAAAAGAGCACAGAAAAAAACCCTCCTCTCGTTCTCACAGCGCGCGGAGAGGAATCCCGTTTCCCCAGAAACAGCGTTCCGGAAGGCAGGAACGCGCTAAAACTCCGAAGGGGCGAGACCTTCCATTTCCCTTAACCCGGAAGCATTGCGATTCGCCTTTATAGTATCCTTCCGGTGCAGTGTTGGTTGCCACGGCGGCGGCACTTCGGCTGTCTTTGTTGTCATGGAGACAGCAGCCCTGGCGAGTTAAAGCTCCTATCCTGCAGGCGCGGAGGACCAGGCGGCGAAGCAACAAGGAGCAATAAACGCTGGCAGGATGTTTGTCTACTTGAGCAAGAAGGTGGGGTTGGTGCTTTTCTGTTTCTTTGCCCCACCCTGCAGGAAAAGTCCGAAGGGGCAAATTTGATGCGGTCAAAATTTCTTACCCAAGTAACTTGCCATGTGTTTCTTACGAGTTCTTTCCAGATACGTCCGAGTTCTGACTTAGTTATTGCTCTTACTTAATTTCTAAATTGCCTGAAATGTATTAAGAGCATGTTTCAAACTCAGTGCAGATTAAAACGAGACCATCCCAGTCTGCAAGGATGTGGTTTAAGTAGACAAGACAGGAGACAAAAAGGCGGTGAGGGGAAGGGAGTTGCAACAGCTTGCGCTTTCAGTCGTATCCCTGCTTCTTCATATATAAATATTCACACCTCTAAAATGTGAACAGTCATACTTTTGCGTCTGCGTATCTGTGTCCATATCCTTGGCAATAAGTGAAACCTTCTCAGTACTTGTAGATATGAATGCATTAATTATACTTCTCTTAACTCTACATGTATGGATGAACTATATCTCCTACGTTTTTCCAAAGAGTTCACTGTGGCTTCTCCACCCCCATTTAATCTTCACAACAATGTGTAAAATAACCTATGTTGACACATATGTATGCATATAGGTAGAATAGGTATATGTGTGTATTATATATAATATTCCCCGATATTCCAATTCCATGATTCCAACCAGGGGAAAATGCTACAATTTTCTCTTTAGATATTGCTTGTTTCTCTTTATTGATGTCAATTTATTGCAAGACTACTACCTTCACAACATTATAAACCCATTATACTACTGTTTAGGAACTTTATAAGATCCATTATAATTAGAATTTAGAGAGGCTGAGCAACTCTCCATTTGGGGGGAAATAGTGCTGCCCATAAAACTCAGATACCCTGTGTTGGCAAGGAACTGGAAAGAACCTAATCCCTGAATTAGACAGAGAAACACCCAAAGTGTTTGCAAAGTGGCTTTTTTGCCTCCCCCCCCCCATATGAACCACAAGTACTTCAGGAAAAGAAAAAAGTGCTTATTAAGGAGGGGTCAAGTCTTTATATAGGGTACAGAAACAAATGATACATATATTTGAAATATGTGATGTCAGAAAGCAACAAACAGTAAAATACATTGATGTGCAATAAAGTTTTTGTTTTGTTAGACGTAAGGAAAGAGACACCCTTAAAATACAGTATGTTGCATCTCCTCCTTTCCCACCTGGGCTTGTTTAACACTTGCAACTTTTAATCAATTACTTCAGAATACAGCCCTATTGTTTCATCAAAGGAAATGCCTTTGGCTCAAAAGAAAAACATAGTTTCCTAAACTTCAAAGGAGGCATAGATGCCATGCTAAAATGCTAATGTCACCTTTAAAATGCCAATAATAAAGCCTTAAATTCTATGTAACAATAGTTTCTACTTACAGTACTCCAATCAATTTGAAGTTTCAAATCAATTTGAAGTGACACTGAACCGGGGATGTTCACACTCCAGTAATAGCAGCAGTTCTCAAACATTTTCATCTCAGAATCCCTTTACATTCTTAAAAATGATTGAGGACCCCAAAGAGCTTGGTTTATGTGGGTTATATCTATCGATATTTACTATATTAGAAATTAAAACTGAGAAATCTTAAAATATTTAACTTTGCAGACACTTTGAGAACCGCTGCCATATAGCAAACCTCCTTGCCAATCAAAGTTTTTTGATGTTGAATTAAAATTATCTACTGTGTCAAATATTTCTTCCTACTTTTGAATATGATGCTGCACCAAGAATTAGTTGCATAGTTTAAAAAGGCAAGACCTCTGGAAATTATTAATAATTGTTGAAGGCTTGTTCTTCATATATATTATTCTGTAAAACATTTTGTACATGAAGAAAATATATGTCAGATTTGGTTTAAGTTAAATTAATTGCTGGAACAATTCACAGTTCGAGTCTAACTTTAATGTGATTATTGCTTTCATTTCTTTACAAAAAATTATTTATTTCAGATTACAATTCCTGGTAATGTTAGACTTAGATCTATTTGTTGGAGCAAGGACCAAGGCTATATAGCCTGCGGAGGTGAAGATGGTCTATTGAAAGTTTTAAAGTTAGAAATAAAAACAGGTAAATGACATTTGTATCAATATAAATTTGGTGGCAACCTAGGGCATTTTTTCTTTATTTTCTTTTTTGCTATGTTGTAACTTGGCCATCCTGTTCTCTCCATGCATTGTTCACATGACTTGTTCTAGTACAATCCCACCATCACTGTTATAGTGTAATGTTCCAGATATTTTGCTTCCAGTACAACATGACTCTGGAACCCAATTTTTATATAAAACATAATAAATTAATGGTGGTCAACATTTTTCTTGGGATAGTGAATGTGATAATGGGAAAGTCTATACCAATAAGCATGTAGATAGGAGGTCCACTATCTGAATATACATGTATTTATTGTCAAAAGTACAATACCTTTACAGAACAAAGTACAATTATGAGGAATGGTAAAAAGCTGAGATAAAAATTTCTGCATTATAGATATACAATATACTGTACTTTAAGAAACTTTTCTTAATGAATACATACATTAATTACAGAGAATATTAAAAGAAGGCCCTCAAGCATGCCTTAATGCATACACAGAAGGATTAAGGAACATGTAAATCCATGGAAAAGGACTGCACAGTTTTTGGATTATCAAGGCCAAACACTCACCAGCCTGAGCAATCCCAACTGAGGGCATTTGAGACAGATTTTATTAAAATGCCATATTTATTATAACACAGTTATGTAATTTGCCATTTTCCTTTTCATACAGAGCAAAGTGTACAGGTAGTTCCTACTTAATGTCCATTCATTCATCAACTGTTCAAAGTTAAGATGATGCTGAAAAAATGGATTTATGACCGGTCCCTGAACTTACGACCGTTGCAGCACCCCTGCAGTCATGTGATAAGAATTTGAGCCAGTTACCATTGACTGCCTCCCCTGCCACCCCCCCCAGCTGACCTTTGTCATCTTCGCCAGCCTCCCCTCCGCTGGGCACACCATCCCGGCTATGCATGGAGAGGCTCCAGGGCCCTGGGGTTTTTTGCTGCGCTGCAGCTCTGGAGCTTTTTGCCACACAATGGCTCTGGGACTTCTTGCCACACCATAGCTCTGGGGCTCCCTCATGCACCCTCCCGCACCCGGCAGCAGCCGCCCCCAGCTCTGCTGCACCAAGCCAGCCACCCATGAACCCTCACACATTCTCCCCCAGCCCTGCTGCACTCCCACTGCCTCTCGTTGGCCCCCCACGCACCCTCCCCAACACCAGCCCCACTGCACTGACGCCACTCGTGCATACTCCCCCACCCAGCAGCAGCCACTTACCTGCCTGCCGGCCTGCTTCCCTGGGACTTGCAACTTCCTACCGTCTTCCCCACTGACTTTGATTGTTGGAAGCTGGCAGGAAGTTGCTTAACAACCTGCAATCCTCAATGACAGCAACAAGGACTGGGATTACCATCACTAAGCAATGCAGTCACGTGACATTGTGCTTTACAACCGCATTGCTTAGTGGTGGAAATTCCGGTCCCAGTTACTGGCATTAACCAAGGGTGACTGCACAATTGGTTCAATGGTGCAAGGCCTGAATATATAGAACCCAGTTTTTTATTTTCTGAAAAACGAAGCCTCTTCTGTTTAATCTTTTTTAATACAGTGACACAATTGGTGGTAAGTAAACCACAGCTTTAACATTCTATCAAGAGTTAGTTGCTAGGAAGGTAAGTTCAGCCACTGGATAATTTCTGATTTGCTGGCTAGTCATAGGACCTCAGAAATGGAGCATTTTGCTCCAAAGAAGCTGCCTTTCAGTTATTCTCCATATTTAATAAAACTGAATATAAGAAAGAAAGGATAGTGAGAGTCTTTCTAACAATACCCAAGCAGAAGGTCCAGATGACCCTCCAGTCCTGAACATGGGCTGAAATCCAAGATCTTATTCAAGGAGATAATAAGTAAGTTTAGCTGGGGTTTTACACTTCACGTGACCACCAGGAGGTAGTGTATGACCAGTTTCATCCTTATTGGTACTCATCAGGTTCATGCAGCCATTATCCCTGTTCCTTCCAAGCCCCAATAAGTACAAAACCAGTCAGACACTGCCTTCTGGGAATCAAGTAATGTGTAAAATCACAGGAATATACATTGAAATGGTCTCTTATCCGGGGTGTCATGAAATCCCCAGTATGAGGGCATGACATAATAACAGCTTTACCTCTCTAGTCTGAGAGTTCATACAAAGAAAGGTGCATGCTACCTATAGTTTAGCTTGGCTGACTATATTGATTGTATTTGGAATTTTGTGTGATTGCTGCTTTCCCTTGCTTTGGATATATTTAGCTTTGTTGGTTTAATAAGATAATTTCTCATTAAAGCCTTCTCCACATATAGGACTTCATGATTACATAGGTACCCTTGTGTTCGTTTCATTAAGTTCTATATTTCTTGGCTTTGGGCAGGAAGATCCAAAGGCTGCCCTTTCTGGTTTTTTCCTAGAGCTGGAAAAGTCCTTGGCAGAAAGGTTTAGAATCCGCACTTGGACAGATTAGCATTTGTCATGAGGTTCAGCCTGACTGTTGATCGCTATCATTAGTATATTTTACTGGGAAAGAAGAAAGGAAGGAAGATCTAACAGCAAGGTTTTAAATCACCACCTCCCATTTGTAATAGCAGCCAAATATATTTGCACTTCCTGTTGCAGAACTGCCCATCTGAATATTAGCTGAGCTAACAATTACCAACCAAGTTACCAACTTCTCTGCAGCTGTGCACAGTCATTTTTCCTCTCATTCTTTATCAGAAGGGCAATATAAAGCACTGAAACTGATAGCTGCTTTTTTCCAGCTATATGTGTTCTAGTTATTATAAGACATAGGAGACATAACATTCAAACAAGAACTTCAGTGACAATAGGATACAAAATAATGACAAATAAACAAGTTAATCATTTGAAGACACTAGGCAATGGAAAGAGAACAGCTGCCCATATCAGTTGAGCAAGTATCTCAGCTACATCCTGGTCCCTGCTTTCAGAATAGCTAGTCTACCAGCTAAAGATATTGATAAAGGAAATGTCATTTCTAGGTCACAGATATGTTGAGGTCTTTTCATACAAAGCCTAATAAGACCTTAATACAGTTGCTAACAAGGCAATATATTATTTTATAGGATTAATTGTTATGACCATTTTCTTTTTATCTTTTGATATGCTGGGTAGGATTTCAGATATAGTTAAGGGAATATTTTAGTAATATGGAATGGATTTATTATAGTATATAATCCCATTTAGTGATTTGTATTGTGCTGACTCTGATTCTTGATATTTTTAGCTCAGGTTTAGTAGTGATTTACAATTAATTAATGATATATTAGAAAGCTATGACTTTCATGACATTTTTAAATCTGTGGTTTATTGTATTCTTTTATTCTTTTTCATGTTCTCTTTTGTACTTTATAAGTACTTATGTGAAATATATAATTTTCTTTAAAATGTTCAATAAAAGAATTTAAAACAGGAAACTCTTCCCCCTCCCATTTTTGTGAAGTCACAATATCTTGATGCCTTACCATCAAGTAATTTCTTTGTAATGAGCAAAAGAGGAAGTTCAATTCCTTTGGAATCCCTGCTTGTCCATCAGTTTCTATGGGTTGGGACATACCTAGGAAAATATTAGGATGTGTTGAAAAGGGGCACTATTTATGGAAAGAGTAGGCTAGTAAAAATTATAAATGCTAGTTATTATATTATTTGAGATTCATGTCTTAAAATAGTACTTAAATCTTTTTGTTTTTAGAAGAAGCCAAATTAAGGGGACTTGCAGCACCTAGCAATCTCTCAATGAATCAGACACTCGAGGGCCACACTGGTAAGAGTTACTATCCTTCAACTAAAATAAAATTGCTTGCTGATTAATGTGTTCAGAAATTAATACAGTTTCACTGATGAACTTTCAATTTCTGCTTGATAAATTCCAATGAATTTCATGGGATATAATTTTGAATTGGCATGTTTAGAAATAAATTTCAAATATTAATATTATTGAAGGATCTCAAATCAAATCTTTATTACAGTCATAGACCAGCATAAGGAGGGTGGGGCACAGTCAATTAAAAAGCATAAAACGTACATTGGAGTTTATTAAAAAAAAATTGAAAAGCTAAAAGATATAAAACAAAGCATATATAAAAAAGAGTCTAAAAGAATCTAAAATGGGGGTAGGAGCATTAGATGGGTGTAGGGGAGCATAAAGGTTAGCATATTGAAGGATCTATTGTCATATATAAAAGAAAACTATTTTATTTCAGTGCTGTTTGATATATATATGAGGATATGCAATAATAATTGCAGATAAAATAGAAATAAACCTGCATCTCAGCTGTCATTGTATACTGAAAATTTTCTCCTTGTAATTTCAAAATAGTATATTTGTGGTTCAGAGTATATTTATACAGTATGCAAGAATTATCAGTATATTTGGTACATTCCTCATGATTCAACATGTAATTCCCTATTTCATCTTTTTTAAAAAATAAAAATCATTAGATTAAAGAAGCTCAGAAATAACAGTTATATCAATGCTATTTAATAATAGAAAAGATTAGAAAAATTGCCAGAGATATAGCAGTAAGAAATTGATTTTTTGCACATTTGATATGATTACCTTAAAGTTCTTCTAAAACGATTAGGACAATACAATGAAATCTTGCCTCCCCAAAGCCCCACTATTGCTTTCTGAGATATTGATTGTAGAGATACCCTTTTGTAGCCTTTCGTGTTAGAAAGTTCTACAGTGGCAGAGATACCACTGTACCCATACAATACAACTCTGCAGACAAAAAGCCAGTATTAGAAGTTACTCTATTAACAACACTAAGCACAACATTTTGAAAGGGGCCATTTCAGGAGAGGGAAGAAGGTGGTTGTTTCAAAAGCCACAATGCTTTCCTTAAAGGACATGACAAAAATACATAGATGGTTGGAATTTAGTAAGCCATTTGAGGAGCAGCAGATACTTGTTCAGATAATTTCTGAAGCAGAGGAAAGCATATCATTCTAGGGCATGCATGCGAGATATGAGAGAAATTTTTGTGTCTTCAAGTCACTCATACCAGCAGAAAAATAAATATTCAGAGAGTATAATATGCTATGTACTATTGGAGCTTGACATTGTCAAGGAAGGTAGAATATTAGAACATAAATAAAGTTACTGGTTTCTTGGTTTGTGGCTTACAATATCATATAAAAGGCCTTAATGGTAGTCCTTAAATAACTGATCCAGAGAGCATTACTCTAATTTCTGCGGGTGGCAAAAGCTCTGAGCCAGATACTCAAATTATTCTTAGGACAATATCATGGGCAACAAAGGAGCCAGCAAAGTTCATACCAGGGCAGCATGAGTGGGTGGATGGGGGTAATTGTGTGATGATACTGTAAGGAAGGCTGTTAGAATACTAAGATGATATCTTAGTAAAAGACAGAAAAATTTGGAATATTCAGTCCTTATTTTGGTTCAGCCTTCTACGCAATGTTATGTTCAACCTGGGACAAGTAGCTCAAATGATGTTAGGAGCAAATTAAGTCATGGTTAAATTTGCTTTATCTGGAATGAAATATTGTTGGATTGAAAAAAAAATCTGTTAAGAAACACTTTTATATGGTATGTGTAAAATGAGAATGACTGAATGCGGTGGAGTCCATCCTTTTATGTAAGGTTCTTTGAGACAGTGGAGATTTCTATGAATGGAAGGAAAGCGTTAATTTCTAGTCACCAAAATCTGATTCTATAGAATTATTCATGTATTTTTTATGAACATACACACATACCTTTTTGTATAAATATGAATGAGTTCACAGTCCTATTATGATGAATATAAAATCATATATGTATACACAATGCTTATTTTTAATAGAATAATACATTACTTTTCCTCCCTAATTTTCTTCTTGTTAATGTAATTTAACAATATCATTATGCAATTTTATAGGTGCTGTGCAAGTAGTGACTTGGAATGAACAGTATCAAAAGCTAACTAGTAGTGATGAGCATGGGCTTATTATTGTGTGGATGCTGTATAAAGGTCGGTGATTTGCTAGAGAGTGGCTATCATATAATTGTGGTATTTCAGTCATTAGTTGGCTCAGAGATTTCTATAGTACACCTTTGGATCTTTAGTTGCAGGCTAAAAGATTCTAAGCAGAATTATTTATTTCAAAAATAATAATGTGGCAGTTTATTATAAGAGATTTATTTTTAAATTAATGTCATATTGGCATTCTTCCCACTAACTAAATACATCTCTTTAGTCCCATGTTGTGCTGATACTAGAATATTTGGGAAGCTTCTTCAGTTTCACAGGCTCTGAGGCTGTGGATTAGGAGTAAAGTTGTGAAAAACCACAGACTATAAGATGAAATCTAGAGCTGTATGACATTTTAAAGAAAAAAATATAAATCAGATAAATATTATTACATACATGTCAAAACTTCCTTCTGCTGGGGAAGGGGAATAGAAGACCATTTTTAAGAACTCCTTGCTTACCTCCCCCAACTCCATCTCTCAGTGTTGGAATGCTCTCCAGAGCAGCTTTGTGGCAATGACACAGTAACCATGAGTAGTCAGTGTCTATCTAGCTCAATAGAATTTCTGAGTTTGGAAATAATTCCATTTGGGTTACTTTTAATTAAGAGTTCAGATGAAAAATAGGAGTGTTGTAGGAATGAATGATTTTTCTCCCCCTCCCCCCCCCCCCCCCCCCCCCCCGGCTTTAGGTGCTTGGTATGAGGAGATGATCAATAATAGAAATAAGTCAGTTGTTAGAAGCATGAGATGGAATGCTGATGGACAGAAAATTTGCATAATATATGAAGATGGTGCTGTAATCGTTGGTTCTGTGGATGGTAAAGTACTATTTGTATTAATAAGATATGCAGTATCTTGAAGTTTTAATAACTCTTATAGTGTCAGCTCCCTTCAGAAATCATTTCCTTGCACACATTGCCCCACTAGCTCCATCTCCAGGTTCCCATTTCCACACATTCAGCTGAATGCACTTAAGATCTTCCCAACAGCTGTAACTTTTAAATTATGCAAGATCCCAAACTTATTTAACTAAATGTGCAGTTTCCCATCATGTCTTTTTGTTCAACATATAAAGCCAAGGGAGGGAGCCAAAAAAGGTATAGGGAACATGAATGCTTCATACATCATTGAGCGGAAGAGGCTAACCCATGCGTTCCCACATATCCCTTCCAACATTTCATTACCATCACTGGAGTGATTGCTCGCTAAAAATAATATTTTTATAGACAAGAACTGTTAGATTCCAGTATTTTGCAATATCTTATATTCAATTGGCAATATCTGACTACAGAGAAGGAATTTTCCATATATTTTACTTTATCATTTGTTTCCATATTAAAGTCAAAGTTAAGGGGAAAAAGTTTACTGGAGTAAAAAAAAAGTAGTTATTTACTATATTTTAAAAATATCTATAAATAATAAATTATCAGCATTTGAAATTAAGATATATTTAAGTTTGCTTTCCCAGTACATAAATATCATTTTAAATAACCCAAGTAGCTTTATTAGAATATAGGTTGGAATACATTTATATTAATGTATAATTATGAGTATGTACAATATCAGGAGAATAATAAAGCCAAAATAATATGTTATATGATTTTCATATAATTCCATCTCAGTTTTTGACATATATTCTTAATGTAGTTAATGTCCTAATTCAGTTAGTCCCCTAATTTAGTTACTATGAAAGGAACAGAGCTATGTTCAAACAATGGAACCTTCCTGTCTTCCACAATCCCTTATGTTCTCTGTACATTTCATGCTGAGTGAGATGATCCTCTGAAACAGAATAGTATGTAACAACAGCAACACAAAAAGAAAACTGAAGATTGAAGGGTATTCTTATCAACAGAAGGGATCACATATTTGAATCCAAGTTTATATATTCAAGAATTTATATCAGTAATTTTTAAAAACTAGAGCTTAGAGGGCGGTATTGAGAAAAGAGAAGTAAAGCTTTCTATTGCTCTGCATGTGTAAGAGAGAAAATTCCTCTGTAAGTTTCCATTTTTAATCTTTTCGGTTATGCACATTCTGTTTTAGTTGTGAAATGCATTGAATTTATTTTCCTTTAAAAGGGAATCGTATTTGGGGAAAGGATTTAAAAGTACAACTCCACCATGTTGCATGGTCTCCAGATGGTAGAACTCTACTCTTTGGAATGGCCAATGGAGAAATACACATTTATGACAAACATGGAACTTTTATGGTAAGTTTAGAGATATATTCCATTAAGTAGTCACCTTTTGGATGGTTTTAGTAGCCAGTTGCTCTTGGTTACAAAAGTTTTTCTAAACATTCCAGCCTAATCTAGAGTGATATAATATAGAATCATGGTTTTTAATTCTGCAATTGCAGGGTATAAAAAGGACTTTTTCAGTCATCATAGAAATTTGTAGTATATATATATATATATGTGTGTGTGTGTGTGTGTGTGTGTATATGTAGTATATATAGTGTTTAATATAGCACAACCTAGGGCAGCTAATTAGCCTACTTGTGAAGATGATTGAAGTGATGTCATCTTGATTTATGAACTGCAGCTATTTCTTTCTTTCTTACAATACATCCGTTGTAAAAAAAAATCTTGCATGAAAAGAAAGTTATTTAATTCACTTTTAAAAAGTACATAGTGATTTATATATTAATATAGATTGTATTATTATGTATTTCAGGTTTCTTCACTTACTTGGGAGTAAGCTCAGTTAAACCCAATGGTTCTTATTTTAAATACACTTTGATAGATTCAGGTTTCAGATCTATTTCAGCCATTCATACAATAATTAGATTTGTGAAGGCATATTTTACATGTGCATATTGAATTATTATTTTAGATGAAAATGAAAATGAACTGTTTGGTGAATGTAACTGGAGCATTCAGCATTGCAGGAATTCATTGGTACCCAGGAACAGAGGGCTATGTAGAACCAGATTGTCCTTGCCTTGCAATTTGTTTTGACAATGGAAGATGCCAAATAATGAGACATGAGAATGATCAAAGTAAGCACAACTTGTGGTAAGATATGTAAGGAAGTACCATAAATTAAGTTGCTTAAAGAGGAGCAAATATAACTAGGATGATCTTTCCATTAATATCTTTGTGAATTGTCTTTATATCAGTATTTGTTTGTTTATTTAAAACAACAACCAGATCCTGTCTTAATTGATGCGGCTCTGAATGTTGTGAGTATCCAGTGGAACCACTGTGGCAATGTGCTGGCTATTGCAGGCTTCCAGAAGATACCTGTGCAAGATAAAGATATAAATGTTGTACAGTTCTATTCTCCATTTGGTGAGGTAAAAATTATAGATTTTATTTTCCTGTTTCTGTATTCAGTGTAAAATAAATGAACCAAATGTTAATAGTTGAAAAATCAAAATTTTCAAACTGCTCCATGAAAGTGTGAGGTAGCAGAAACAGTAAAGGCAGAGAAGCTTTCCTGAAAGTTAACTTGCCACACACTACCAGTTTTCCTCTGTAACATATGGGGGGGTCAGTCCAAAAGTCCAGGGGAATGTCTTTTGTGTACACATACAGTAAATATGGGTGCAAAACATCCTTTTAATATCCAAGTGATGACTGACATTCAACTAATTTCTTGGCACATAAACAAATGTGGAAAGTGTTCTCCAAAAGTTAAAAAAAATGAATACTTATTATTATTATTTTTTTTTTTTAATCTGCACTCAGTCGTTACCGACTCTGCAGTGACTGCTTTGGACGAG